TAATGGGGATAGTGAAAATTCTAAAAAAAAAAAAACTAGGATAAAGAATTTTTTCTTCCTACTTACAACCTTAGGTTATATATAGTTGAAGATTTAAAAAAGAACCATTGTATATATATAAAAGTAAATACATAGATACAACCTTAAGTTATATATAGTTGAAGATTTAAAAAATAACCATTGCATATATAAAAGTAAATACGTAGATATTAAAGATCTAAGGAAAAAGAGAACCATATTTAAGCTTATTTCTTTAAAAGTTCTTTAAAGAAAAAAAAATTCATATCAAAAGCGCGATACTGAAATAATAACATCCGAGAATTGAACTGTCTGATTTTCTGTTTCTTGTGCTCCAGCACTACTGGAAAACAGACCCGCACCTTTGGTTAAAATTTCATATTTTTGTTCGGCAGTAAGATCATCGAAGGATGAATTTACGTTTTGAGGCGCCAAAGGTTGAACTCCAATCGCTTGATTTGCAGGTTGATTCATAATGGCAATTTTAAAATTTTTATTAAAGGTTTTTTGCCTTGAAAAAAAACGAAAACGAAAGCAAAAATTGGAATTTTTATAGCATGCACAATAAAAAATTTTTCTATTTAAACGAAAAAATTACTAAACAGCAAAAGTTATATAAACCGCGTATTTTTCTAAGGAAAATATATATTGATATACATTTTTTGTTGTTGTGTAAAGGAAAGACCAAAAAAATTTAGCGGTTTATAAATTTTATTCTCTTCATTTTTTCTTTATATTGTGTGATCAGTTTGAAAGACAGATGACGCATATAAAGAAGTGATTTATTACAGAATGTTTACTTAATGCATACGTAAGCAATCCCGCCTAAGGAATAAGCGTAACATAAAAAAAAACAAAGAACAAATCTGACACATGTTTTTCACTGGAATTAACAATAATATCGATCGATATACTATTCCAATGATACATCTATAAAACTTTCTTTGGTAAAATAAGTCTTGTCAATTGGCCATAAATTTTGTACACCGTTTGTGCGATATTTTCTCAATTATGGTTTTATAAAAATTGGTGATACCGTTAAAAAATCAAGCTAGCACTAAAACAGAACCTGTCAAAACAGTAAACATATTTTTTTTGATCCAAACAATAGTTTATCAAATTCTCCAAGAATTTTATATTAATAATATATAGTTGTGTTCACCACTCACTTATATGTTTTAATATCGTTACATAATTTTTTAACTGTACGTACTTATAGTCTGTATAGTCTGCAATACTGTGTTGTGTTCACTCACTTTATACGTTTAATATCGTTACATAATTTTTTAACTGTAATACTGTTGTGTTCACCATTCACTTTATACGTTTAAATATCGTTACATAATTTTTTTAACTGTACTTATAGTCT